ATTCAGTTTGCAATTGACTCTTGCAATATTGCCTGTAATAACCCTAAGAAACTCCATTCTGCACCCCTGAAGGGATGAGAATGAAAGGACAAATAACATCATGAAAATAATTCAGAGCTCACAGAAGACTGTAAAAGTCTTGGAGACCTCCGGGAGTGTCTGGACCACACTGAGAATGGCACAGATTATGAGTACTTTGTAACCCAACAATTTTTCCTCTGCCCATTGATGACTAGGAAGCTCAAGATTATTTTTGGTGCTTAGTTAACTTTTCAGTTTTTTACTTGAAGTTTTCCTCTCCTTTCTCCCTTCTTCTGCCTTTTACTACCTACTTTCCTCCATCTCTCCCTCTCTTCCTTTTATTTTGATAGACTATATCTTGAATATTGTTTGTAGCTAGGAAGGGTATATATAATACATAACATTGAATATATATAAATAGCAATCACTTCTTTACTTTTGGAATAAGGTCCTATATACTCATCAAAAGACGAAGAAGTCAAAAGTATGGCAAGATGGAATTCTGAAGATCACTCACTTAGGAAACAAAGTAAGTGCAAAGCAGTTAACTACACAGTCTGAGAGCTAGATTCTTGCCTTTTAATTGAATATTAAAATTCTGTAGATGATAAAATGTTAGATATGTTTATATACTGACATGTGAAAACAAATTTTCAAATGATTTTCATATTACAGTGGTTAATTTGTACATTATAAAAATGGTTCAGTAAATATTATTTAATTTGTTTTGATTTAAAAAAGCCTGTATTATCAAATGCTTACTGTGTGTTAGGCGTAATATGTTCAAAGTATCAACTCAGTCTATGTAACTCTCCTACTATTACTAGTTAGGTATTATTTCTATCTTTATTTTACTGATGATGAAACTGAGGCACAGAGAGATAAAGTAGTTTGCCCAAGGGTCTCACAGCTGGAAAGTGGAGTCATGCATGAACCCAGGCCTTTTGGCCCCAGAGCCATGTCCTAACCATTCTACTGTCTCTTTTAATATTAGTAATTTTAAAAAAGAACTTTATTATAGTTGGTTGATAATATTAGATAGGACACATTGATAACATCTGTAACCTCCTAAAGGAAGTCCATACTCCTTAGTCTAGCAGGTAAAGAACTCTATATTCTGTTCTTATTCTATTTATCTGTTATTATGAGTTTATAACTGAAGGAAGCTTTTCAGTAGAGAAAAGGCTATTTACTATTATTTTGTAAAGTTAATATTTAATTTATCAAAACCGCAAATTAAAAGAAAACTAGTTTTGCTTTAAGCCTTCAAGTTTAATGTATATAATCCTATTAAATTTATAAACCTAGTTAAGTTTAACAGTTACTTTCAGTGAGGTCTTAACTTAATGTTGAGTCACCTTAAGTTGAAAAGCAGTATGCTTTTAAATAATCTGGTTTTTTTTTTCTCCTTTACCCCTCATATTCAACAAGTTTATTTGTTATACCTCATAAATGATTCTTATCTCCAACGCCAATAACCGTATTTCAAGGCCTGATCACTCTTCGATCCTGCATAACATCCCATTACAGTCCTCTCTAATGCATTCCAATTCTGTTTTTTCCCAGTTCCATCCAGGTCTTCCTAGTAGGAATTAAATTCTTGAATTCCTATGTGTATACCTTT